AAAAAAAAAAAAAAAAAGAATAGAGTAATGCTACACTAACCAAATTTTGAGACAAAATTTAGAACCCAAATGACATGGCAGTTGATTATTTTGAAGTTTTTATTGGGATCCAAATGACATGACATCAATCAAAGAAGTCCAAGTCAATTGCCATGTCGTTTGGGCTTTAAATTTGATCCCAAAATTTAGTCAATCTAACATTACTGAAGAGAATATATGGTGTTCAAGTTCCAGTCCAAGTGTGTGTGTGTGTCTGTGACACCCAAATTCTTTTTAGTACTGCACTTCTACTATTCACATAGATGGGTTATGGCCCTTCATTGGTGTACTGAAAATGCAAATAGTTTGAATACATTTTTCACCACTTACTGCATTAGTGTTCAGCATAACATCAAAAAGGTGTTGTGCATGGTCTACCTTATACTGATATAATTGATAAAAGAGTAGTGCTTTTTCTTTTTCGGAAGGTAAAGTGTATTAAAAAAAAACAAAAATACAAAGGGTAATCACCCACACATTGTACAATAACATTTCATAAGACTCAAAGACAAACATCAAAAAACCAAAAACACTAAGGCATAAAGCACAATTCTGTAAGAGATGCCCTGGTTAAGAGTATCTCCCACTGAATTGTTAACAAGAGTACATTGGTACACATAAACAGAGCATGACAGCAAGCCAGCAACCATGACGGCCAACATAGAACAAAGCAAATCAGCCCAACAAAAACAGCACCAGGAAGCCATTTGCACCAATAAAATCAGCACCAACAAATCAGCACAACACACCACAGTAAGCCAGCAACCATGACGGCCAGCAAAGACAGCACCAGGAAGCCATTTGCACCAAAAATCAGCACTAGCATGTCATTTGCAGAGCAGAACAGCCCAGCACTACCCCAGCAAATCAGCCCAACAAAAATAGCACCAGGAAGCCATTTGCACCAATAAAATAGCACCAGCATGTCATTTGCAGAGCATAACAGCCCAGCACTACCCAGCAACAACAAATATGAAGAAGACAGCCCCAACAAGCAAGTAAGCCAGAAAAAACGTACAGTAGTGAGGCTGAAGAGATAGCACAGCCAACAAAGGCTTCCCCCCCAAACTCATCCCAGGGCAGAAGCAAAACATAGAAACACTTAGACCAGGCAACAGAGGAGAGGAGCAGCTTTGCATCCACCACGTGGGTGATGAGAGGATCAGATGGAGTACCAGATAACTTATACCCTTATGCTGGAACTAGGCAACTGCCTTATATGAAATAACAGCATGTTCAACTGAGAGGTTTTGAACTTGGTCGAAGACATTCTGTCCCTAACTGTCTGCACAATGATGTTTAACAAGGACTTGCAATCTCTCACTTGGTTTTGATGAATTTTATTATTTCGTTCCCTCCATATATAGTACACATTCACTGCCAAACACAGTCTTCTCAACACACTCACCATGGATTTGCCCTTCCAATTTTGGATCACATGACTTACCAAATGTTGCCAAGAGTTAAGTTGTCCCTGCTCACCAGTGAGCTGAAGCAGATTTCTCCATATGCTCCTAGAGTAATGGCATTCAAAAAATAAATGAGAATGGGTCTCGTCAGCTTGTCTACATAGAACACATTCCATCCCCACATTGTTTGCATAAACTTGCATTCTATCCTTTGTGCAAAGCCTCATTCTAATGGCTAGCCAAAGAATAAAGCTCATCCTAGGAATAGCATTGCTATACCACACCAAATGAATCCAGGGCACTTTAGGAGAATGAACTCTCACTAGATCCCAGGCAGAGATTGAGGAGAAAGTGCCGTTTGGGGCAGGAGTCCATTTAACATCCCATCTTTGTTGACATAGTTGGTAAATGGGCATGGTTTGTTCAATTTCCCGAAGCTCAAAGGTGCTTGTGTGAGGCCAATGTCATAGATTATTCCTTACAATGTTGCTAACCTTTGTATCCCTTGGAAGATCTGAATCCTGAATAATATCACTACTCCATTTCAGCAGAAGGGGACCCAAAGAGTAATGTTAGATGGAATTAAAAATTAGACTTTATAATCTCAATCATTGAATAGGTAATGGGTCCCAATAAATGTTGGGACCTACATGAAATCAATAATTGAGATTATCAAGTCTAATTTTTAAGTTTACTTTTTAAGTTCATGTAGCATTGCTCTTGATAAAATTTGTGAATGATGCATTTAAGAAAAGATGGATAGACTATCATTCCTGAAAACTTCTTGGAAAGCTAAAGCACTGCAAGAGTTAGTACATGTTGATATCTGAGGGCCAAGCAGAATACCATCAGTTGGCAACAAAAGATAATTTCTTCTATTTGTTGATGATTATACTCGAATGATTTAGCTTTATTTTCCCAAGCAAAAGTCAATGACTTTCTCCAAATTTCTTGAGTTTAAAGCTATAGTAGAGAGACAAAATGGCAAAAAATTAAAAGCAATGAGTACAGATCGTGGTGGAGAATTCATCTATACTTCATTCATGAATTATGCAAGGAGAAAGAAATCTGAAGACAACTTATAGTTTGGCGATCATCTCAGCAAAATGGTATTGCAGAAAAAAAAAAAAACCGCACTATTGTGGAAATGGCACGAAGCATGCTTAAAGGAAAAGGACTTCCCAATAACTTGTGGATTGAGGCAGTCAACACAGGAATTTATATTCTCAATCGATCTCCTACAAAGACAATTCTCAACAAAACACCCTATCAGGTGTGGTATCAGAGCCAAGGTTTTAAATCCCCTCAAAGCTTTCAAAAACAACATCTATGATGGAAACTAACACATATATTCAATTATGCGCAAGCCCTCCTTCCTACTTTTGAGGGTGAGAAATAAGAGTAATTGGAGTATCCAATTGAAAACTTTATTTATCTCACAAGATTTATGGAATATAGTTCAAGTTGGATACGAAGCACCAACAGATGACGAAAAATTAGCAACATGATAAGATGCAGATCATAAGAAATACAAGAAGAACAAAAAGAAAGATGCAGCAATACTACTCAACATACAACGAGGGGTTCCAAGATTTTTGGGTGCAAAAACATCAAAGGAAGCATTGGAGATATTGAAGATCAAGTATCAACCCTCAAACATTCATTTATACAAAATCCCTCATTCCTACTTTTGATGGTGAGAATTACGAGTAATTAGAGTATCAAATTGAAAACTTTATTTATCTCACAAGATTTATGGGATATAGTTAAAGTTGGATTCAAAGCACCAACAGATGACGAAGAATTAGCAACATGACAAGATGCAGATCTAAAGAAATACAAGAAGAACAAAAAGAAAGATGCAGCAATACTACTCAACATTCAACGAGTGGTTTCAAGATTTTTGGGTGCAAAACATCGAAGAAAACATGGGAGATATTGAAGATCAAGTATCAAGGATTTAATAAGTTATTCTCCATTAAACTTCAAACTTTTTGGTCAGCAAATGAAGGAAAATGAATCTATACAAGAATTCTTTTCCTGTGTTGCTAGTATTGTCAATCAAATCAGAAGTTATGGAGATATCCTTTCTAACAAAAAGATTGTTGAAAAAGTCCTAAGAAACCTACTTACAAGATTTGAGCATATCATTGCAGCAATCGAAGAAGCAAAAGAGTTGTCAAACTTTACTCGACATGAATTAATGAGTTCTTTGGAGGCACATAAGAAAATGATGGGTAGGTTTACAAACCAATCTTTGGAATAAACATTTCAATCCAAAGTCAATATGGAAGAATCGAGGAATTCAAATACAGAGCAAGGAAATCAAGGAAGGGACACATATAAAAAAAAATAAGCCAATATGGAAAGGTTGTTGAAGACAAAATTCTTTCCAAGCCCGAGGCAAAGGAAGAGCAATGCATATCGTATGGCAACATAGTACTTGAATCGATAGAATTGATGTTGGGTAGTTCGGGCTAGTCAAACAAGTTGACTTTTTCAGAGGAGCTTTAACATACATGGGTTTCCAAACATCCATGTCCAATTAGCAATGGTTAGGCGAAATAAACTCATCGCACCCCTAATGGTGGATACATTGATCCAGGATGGATTTCAGGCTAATTCCTTCGTTTAGGGCTTGAGAAGGACGTTTT